TAGAAACACATTAACAAATTCTCAAAACATACTGGTTAAAGAAAATCTCCTTTAATTTTCGTTAACTATTCCTTGGTTTCCTATCATTCAGAGCAAGTAATGGTATCGGTAACACATCCCCGTCTTTAGTTGTACTGAATGGATATAAACAAGTTCTTTTCTCTCTATGCCGAACGCATATTTTCAGCTATTTTGTTTCTAATCCTGTGTTTCACAGACTCCCTTTCTCCCGCCCCTTCTCATTACTCTCGCTACTTTTGGTCTCCTTTTCTCTCGTCCCCGCCCTGCGACTTATGTAACCCTTGACCCTGCCCGTATACACCACTGCGTCTTTCCAGGCGGAGCCATCCGACTGGCAGGCCCCCGGCCGCCCACCCACCCGTTCCCTCTTGTGCCGGCTTTACGGCGCGGAAAGGGTCCGCGGCGGGGCGCGAGGGGTCGGGGACGGCGGGTGCGGCAGAAGCAGGGGCGGGGCGGGCGGGCGGGGGCGGACGGGCGGGGCGAGAGTGCAGGGTGGGGCGGGCGGGGCGAGGCAGCGCGGCGCTGAGGCGCAGCCGAGCAAGGCGTCCGCGACCGCCGCCGTTGGCGCAGTGGCCAGCCGCGCGCTATCGCGGGGCTAAAGTTTAAGCCAACGCCATTCTGCCGCCGCCGCCGTGACCACAGCTCGCGCCGCACGACTGCGGCAGAGACGACGACGACGGACGACGAACGCGGCGGCGGTGGCAGCGGGGACGACGACCTGACGATGACGGGGAAAGAACAGCGAGTCACGTGGTGACGGCAACGGTCGGAAGTTGTGTCCATTGGCGGCGGCAGCGGCCCTTGTGAGATAAACTGCAAAAAACGCGGAGAGCGGATATGACGGGCGAGGAGGACCACTATTTGGGAGACGGAATCAAAGCCAATGGAATAAAGAAATTGGTCAGCTGTGATCGGCGAACGATGTAGGGACTTCATTTAGTAGTAAAATAATATATACAGTAAACCCTGATTAACACAAAGTCGCTTAACACGAAAATTTCGCCGTATTGAAACATGAACAGTCCCCGGCAAAAACAGTACATAAAACGGATAATATACCTATAAATTTTCGGTCTCTTCGTTCATGTTATAAAATTCGTGTTAATGAAGGTTTGTGACCACGACAGATGGGCGCAACCATTGTAACAGTAAGAACAGTAGTAATAGAGGGATTGTAATGTAGAAATTGGGACTGGAAAGGGGAAATGACTAGAGGTGGACAAAAAGAGGAGTTGTGTGGAAAGAAAAATTGGAGACGTATGTGAATTAGAAATTTGATGAAATAGTGGACGTGAATGATTGAAAAAGTAACAAGAAAGAAAATAGGTGGTGCAGATAGAAGAAACTGAAGAGGGTAAGATGGAGTAAGGAGAATGATGCGGTAAAGAAATCCCAACGACCAAGAATGTATTGGCGAACCAAATTTCGAGGCATGGCAACGAAGTGCGAGGATCGCATCCGAAAGAATGTACGTGGACGAACTTGACAGCTTTCGCTTACGGAAAGTAGGGGCGAATTTAAATGTTTGTGTTTTTGACAATCGCGGAAGGCGGAGGGCGGGAAGTTTTGAAACGAGTAATTTGTCATAGGTGATGGTCAGTGGGTATGGCCGCGGAGATCTCATGTGAGGATGATGGCGCGATTGAGGAGGGGATGTCGGCGACCGAATGAAGGAGGTATGGGCATGTTTGGCGGAATGCCGTCGGAAACAGTGGAGAGGATTGGGCGGGGATGTGGGCGGCGGATGTGGGCGGGATGTGGGCGGGGATGTGGGCGGGGATGTGGGCGGGATGTGGGACGGGATGTGGGGGCGGGGATTGGGCGGGGGATGTCGGCGAGGATGTCGGCGAGGTCAATGTCGGCGAGGATGTCGGCGAGGAGCTGGCGGGGATGTCCGGCAGGAGTGGAGGGGAGGACTGCGAGGAGAGTGGCGAGGAGATCGGCAGCGGGGAGAACCCGTCGCGTGCACCGCTGGGCAGCTGGAAGGTATCGTGAAGGAAGGCCCGTAACGACCGCTGAGGCCAATGAGGGGCCAACGTACACGAGGGAGTGTGAGAATGAACGAAAACAACATCGGGAAGGAATCCCCGTTACGTAGTAAACGAAGCTTGAATGGCGTTCTTTGGCGCTTTGAGACTGCGCATTTTTGTGGAACAAGGGGGCTTGGAAGCGATTCATTTCCTCACTCGAGTTTCCTCGAATTGACTGTGTAGGGCTAAGATATAGATCAAAATGAGTTTAATCAGTTTGATAAACATTACATCACAAAATCATTAAAATTTGTTTAATATTCCTCTTCCAAAATCACAGATTTTGTAAAATGATATTTACTTGAAGTGAAACTGAAATATATTTGTATTATGCGGAGAAGATGTGAAAAGTTCATTTAAATGCGTTTTAAAGAATAACCAATTATCTGGTGGAATATTTTTAATTTTGATAGTATTCTTAATAGTTTACAGACTAATTCAGATGATATTTGCTTTCAAGTAGTCATTTAAAATACATTGCTATATCTCTTCAGTTCTTGTGCTTCGTTCTCGAATTTGATATATTTCTACTCTATGTTACATTCTATTTGTAATTTTAGATTTTGCCTCATTTTAAAGTAGTATATCTTGTAAAACATTTTAATATCTTCTACATACATATCTCTGCCTGTTCAAGGTTGTTGGTCTTTGTTAATTTGAAAATTTTAAGTTTCTGAATATATGTGCATGCACATATTGCATACAAAACGTCTCAGAAAGCTTTGTTCTTTCTGTAATGACAACTATTTCAGTAAATTTGCACTGCAACCTGAATTCGATTGTCTAGAAACTATTGAGGATACTACCATAATAAAATATATAAATTTCATTAAACTTTAAACTTTCTTTAGAGCCTTAAGGTTTCAGACGATCCCATTATAAAACTAGATATGTATATTTAATTATACGTGAAATTACTCTACTGAAAATACAGTAATCTATTATAACTATGCTGGATACAGATATATTAAATAAAATATTTTTCATACTGTTATTGAGTCTGAGTGTGGTCAACAGCATCGATAATTTTTCCTGCAATAAAAATGTCTGCAACTTGTAGACATCAACATTGTAAAACTCGGAAGAAATATAATTTACACTTTATGCACTAGGCCAACACATCACGTCAATTTACGTAATGTGAAATTTCGAAAATTACATTACTAAGATCAAATTTCATGTATTACAATTGATTTTTTTTAAATAGGCCTGTCCTATTGATTGATATAGAAACGTTTGGAAACCATTTTGTCCCTTGAAGAATTCGAATTTTATAAAAATTGTTTGGAAATACGAATTGTTTCTATAGGTTCCTAGAAATACAAAACTAAAATAAATTTAAATATATTTTATAGATAAAAATACGATGTAATGTGCTTATTGGTTTTCCCTGATTTATTTATTGTATTAAAAAGTGTAATATTGTAATTCGTTTTAATTTTTAGCGAAAAAATTAATCAACTGGTTAGAGAAAGAAAAACATACATTTCCTTCATTTGAAATCAAAATATTTTGTCGGTTACCATTTCCTCTGAACAAAGGAAAACAATCTTCAAGAGTTTTCGCTTCCTTTTTTTTCATTTTCGCGTTCTCGTGATTTATCGTCTTTATGTTTGGATACGCCAAAGCGCTTTTATTGTGCGGATAGAAACTACATTTTTCACTTATATAGTGGGCGTGGGAACACTGCAGGTTGAGTTTGTACAGAAACTGTTGTTCCGGATGCGATCCTTTTTTTAAGAAATTGGCTACATTCGGATGGATCACCAACTATATTTCCATCATGTATCCATAATATTACTTTGCTAATTAATATAATTTGCACGAAAAATATTGTTGTAATTTTTAAATTATCCCAATTTTTTGAGTGTTTAAATCTAATGAGCGGCATTTAACGTTCGATTTTGTGCAATCTTGTGAACTTAATAATGATGTATTTCTTTTGTAAACGTAAACAATCAAATGCTGATTTAGTTGAAATACAACTTTTTAGAAAGAAAGCTATGTAAGTCCTATTGCAATGAATGACACTGAACAACTCTTGTTCCCATTCCCTTTATGGCGAATGAACGTCTCAGAAAAATGCCTTAGATGTGATTTCGCTTTACTGTTACATAACGAATATTAAAGTAATATAAATGAGAGAAAAATCGAAAAGTGAAAGGATTTAAATTTCGATTCTAGCAATAATTAGTGTTATGTGTTAACACGTTCAAAGAGTATTAGAGGAACAAAAGCGATAGGCAAGTGATAAATTGTTCTGCAACGAAACTATTAAACGTTTATTGTTATTAAACATTCAGTTTGAAACCAAGGGGAAAATCTACTCGAAATGTAATTTGAAACATTTCTTTACGTATAATAATAATAGGATACGGTTTTTTCGTGACGAATTCCCTAAAAATATTTTAGAAAGATACACATCAATAATACACTACTCTTATCGTGATTGTCTATATCAATATCTTTTTTTTAATTTTTGATGGACGATGGTTGGTAGCGCGCCACATTCTCGCACTTTAACGCTTCGATTAGTACTCCACTAAATACTAGATTTTCTTCTTGATATTGACTAGAAAGATTACGCAATTTTCAAATTATCACCTAAATTGAAGGATTGGCGCGTAGTACACAGACCAAAGATGTTCTATTCTGTGTACTAATCCCTCATTACCGTTCTTCGTACGAAAGAACAATTCCTTGTTAATCAATACGTCGCTCCATAAATTGAATAAAACAATTAAAAGAAAAAATGTACCACGTAAACAACGAAGACTCGGAATTACAAATCGCATTGTTGGAAGTCCTGTCCATTGATCTGCCGGGACGGACGCAAAGGAAAAGAAAATAGACAACGATCCTTGAGATGTACACGAGGTGTCGCCAGCGACCAAGTGAGGCGTGCCAAACCTTTCCTTCGGCTCCCTTGGGGGTATCTATAGAACTCACCCGGCACGGGCAGCGGCCAGCGCATGGTGACGGCGGCGGCCGCGGCGGCGGCGGCGGCGGCGGCGGTGGCTGCGACTGCGTTGGGGGGACAGGCAGACGCTCCTCGGACGACAGCAGCGACGGTGGAGAAGGCTGCAGGCGCCTAGCGGGCCAGCATACCTGCAACACCGGACGGATGCGCGGGTTGCATATGCGACATCGGTGCAGGAGTCGCGCAGGTTTGGGACGTGTGATTTTACATCGTTACATCAACTAATAGAAAATTCACGTTTCTAAGCAAAGTACATCAGGTAAATGGCCATAATTGTCATAAAAATATTTCTATCTCAATTGTAGAAAAAATATATTTGAATTCCGTAAAAACATTAAAATTCACTTTTAAAGAATTAATGAGATATTTATTTCACTTTATAAATTAAGCTGCGAGAATAGGGATATTTGACTCGAATTGCATCGAATTTATATATGTATTTTATGTAAGAGATTGACTTAATTAAATGATTATACACATAAATCATTAGAGTAAGTATCTTCGTATTTAGTCTTAAAATCTCTTGTAACTTCTAAAACAATTTTCACATGTCAACTCAATAAATTCATATTTAGGGTACAGTACAGTACTGACGGTGCATTCATAAGTTGCAAGAAAAAATATAAACTTCCGTTACGAATCCCTAATATTACTTTTTCGTAATGTTTTGATTTACGTTAATTTATGTTACGTAATTTTATGCGGTCTACGTTTCCATTCTGCACCGAAAGACTTGGCCACGTGCCATTCGCAAACCCATAGATGCTCCGTTTTCTCCCATTTCGAATCGTAACGTTGGTCCAGAGAAAGCCATTTATTTTATGCGTAGGAAACGAAAGTAACTATTGAACCAGCTAAAAAATGACCTGGCAATTTAATATAATATAATGTGAAGAGAAGAGAACGTTATGAATAAGCTGTATAACTACATAGTTTATTCATCTGGCGTAGTATAACTATCAGAAAAATGATTATCATGATAACGATGGAAATTTTAAAAAAGCAGATTGATCTCCGATTTGTAAGTCAGCTAGAAACATGAGCCCCATACAATAATTGAACAATTGGAACAATTGTTGCTTATAAGTTATCAGCATATTCTCATTATCTGAAAATACATTTTAAACTGCCATATATAATATTTTTAGAAGGCAATATTTCGGAATAATAAATAGTGATGTATGCGTAATTCATCATCAATCTGTTTATATTTGTCATATATCTCTATTATTGAGTAAAAAATTACGGATCTTCAAGGTAGGGTAATATTATTATAATAATAATAACAATATACCGAAATACAAAAAGGGTTCACGAAGGTCTTGGTGTAATGTCATTTTTATAATTGTAGAAATTCAATCAATCATTTACGTTACACTTGTCTAAAATATAATTTTAGATAAAAAAACAAACCATCCCTTAGTGAAGACTTTTATGTGAGTACTGCAGATACTTTGGCCTCAAAGCAAATCTACTTCTCAAAATGTACATCAGAGATCATAACATTCAACTGAACACACGTGGAATACACGTGATGACACCGAAATCAACAAAAAGAAGATTCACACCAATCGTATATAGTAAATAAATTCTAAAAGTGACAAATAAAAATAACACAAGAGAAAAATATTTAAAACTAAAATACGAACTGTACTTTACAAATATAATTGAAACCAATGGGATGTAATGTTTACGTTTGACATGAATTAACAACACACACATATTTTTAGGCAACGCATTGTTGGTGAAACAATCAATTAAGTGCTCCACAAAAACATTTTTCTTGAAGAGGACTACAGCTTAATCGAGATTTGACGCACTCCTCCCCTGATTGCATGTCAGAGTTGATGAATCTGTCACTCAATATACCGTGATTGACGAGGAGACGTAAACTATGGCACGTCTCGCAGATTCAACGTAATCGATGGAAATCTGACATAGTTTGCTAGTTCTGGAACTCAAACTGGCAGCAACAACACACTTCTCATTAATCTGGGTGACCCACATGCGCATTAAAGCACATAGACTGCAGTCGAATGCACATTGGAGACGTAAATTTTGTAGCAAGGCAGCGAGTTGTTTTAAATATATTGGAGAAGACCAATACGCGGAGACATTAACGTAAAAAAAGTTTCACGAATGCAGGGAGTACTGTCATTAGCCGCTAAACACGTGGTATGACATTAAGCACAATAAAAATAAAATCGAGGAAGATATTTCAAATATAATTTGGAAAATGTCCAGCAATCAATACATGGCAACTTTTAACAACTGCGTACCAAAAACTTCAGCAAAACCACATTACGTCCGGCAAAAGCAGATGTCAATTCGATATTGGGGAATTGTCATGAATTAGAAAATAATGTTAATTGAGAAATACAAATGAAAATAATGTACAGAAGTACATATTTGTATAAGGGTTTAAGAAACGTTCAGAAAAACGTTGTTGACACATTGATATTGCTGTTGATATTCCAGCGGAAGAAAACAATACATATATAAAACCAAGCTAACTTCCAAAATGCAACACTACGGCGAAGAGCGAAGTGCCGCGACCTCACCTAACATTCCACGTCGTTCATCTCCGACAATCAGCACCGGCTCCACGCACTCCTGCATCTCGCCCACCATAACCCCACATTCGGAACATGCGAGCGGCGGAGCGCGGCGACGGCGCGTCCCCAAGACGCCCAACGCGGCGCGGCTCCAGCGCAGCGGGGCGGGGTGGGGGTGGGGGTGGGGGCGGAGGCGGGGTGGGGGCGCGGCGCGGGCCTGCGCGCTGCGCGTCGGGGGCGCCTGCGGACGCCCCGCGTGCGCACCACAGCACCCGCCGCCCCTCCATTCCGCATCCCGCCCCGGCGCACCCCCGGGCTTGCCCCGCCACTCTGGGTGCGTGGGGGGCGTCCGGCCGAATCGATAGCGCCCCAGCGCCCCCGCACTCACGCCGCCCTTGTCCCGCCTCCGCCTCTGCCCCTCCCTCCGCCACCGCCGCCGTCCCCGAGCCCACGCCAACCGCGGCCGCCGCCCGCGCCCGCCCCGACTCCGACCCGGGTGAAGGAGGCCGCCGGTGCGTGGGAAGAGGAGGGAGTGAGGGGGCTGTGTTGCGGCGATTTCTTTGTTTGCGGCCGCGCGCTACCGATACACTCGTCTCGAGTTCCGTCTCGTGCGGGCGCCGCTCCGATGCCTCGGCAATTTGATCCTTTGAACAAGCTTTTAGTTGGCCGTCTCGACGTGGACAGGTGAGGAGAAGGCTTTGACTACAATATTGGGGTTAAATTATTACCTCGAGATTTTTCGCATACGCTTTCGCGTCATGAGGAAATAAATCAAGTTCTTAGAAATTTAATCAAATTTTAGAGCGTTTTCAGATTCCTTCTAGTTTGAATTTTTCAAAGCGAACGTTGGTAGAACCTAATCTTGATGGCTTAGTCACATTTTGCATATTACAACTTTTGAATCAATTTTTTCTTAAGCGATATTGGAAGCAATAACTAAAATACAATGTAGCATAAAGGCGCAAATGTTCGAAAAAGTAATATTTTTATTGTGCGTGTTAGGTATTTTTTGCTTCATATTAACGAAGTATATCTGATTTATTCTTTATCTGTAAAAACAGGATATTTAACAAGCAATGATTTGATCTAAGCAACAGCTGGTGGATTTTTATTGACTAAAATATCCGAAAATTAATGTTTTAATTAGTGGCTAACGACTAAATAGCAATTACGTACAATGAGTACAGTGTTAATATTTTCTTATTAAGCGCCGAAGAAGATAAGTTTGTTAAGGCTCCAATTAAGCGAATTGCAAGCAGAAAAGCAAAGCTGATCAATGAAGCCCTTCGGCATCCCAGAGGTAAAAGGTACTTGAATTATTCTTGGAGACGATAAAATAATCTCTTTAAAATTAATAATCAGTATTGTGAGTAATTTAGTTTATTGACAACTAATTTTTTTGCAATACATTTCAAGTTCGTAACCGAAATGTTACCTTTCTTAATATTTTTAAATATTTTTCTTCAACCGAACTAATCCTTTCAAAAAATTTTATTATCTCCCCAGTAACAAATAAAAGTATTAATAAAAAATCTGCTAAAAAATTCCATAATATTATAACGATCTTGTATTTGGCATTTCATATATTGTGATGGAATTAAGTTGGCAAACATCCATCCATCAAAACCTTCAATTTCACACCACTACTTTACTCTTTCAAATTGAATTAGAAATGAAAGCAAATGAAAACGCTAAAAGGTTAACGTAAATAAGGAAGAGGACCTCAAGCTATATTTGTCAATAATTTAATATGGCAATCACATACACTATATTTTCCCGTTACTTTCACAAGCAAAAATACTCATATTTAAATCTTAATTTATTTAAGTAGAAAGCAAGCCTTAAATATAATTAATACTTCAATACAAAGATGTTATGGTTTAGAACTTGAACTTACTTCGACTGTATGGATTATGTTCAGAACATCAACGTGGATTCTTCTCTTGAGGAACACGCAAACATATCAGAAAATAATGAAATGTCATTTACGTTTCTACCAAGAAGTAAAAATAAACATCTTGAGTGCAGTCAGAGAGAGTTATCTCTTTGTTTCTGGCCACCAGTTGCATATCTCCTGCGTTGACAGCAATGTGAATGATAGTTATTAGTGTGCTCTATCTTCAGCAAGATATTAGAAGCAACGAGATAGGATAATAAATAATAGAATGAAGTAGGTGTGACGATGAAAAAACTTCGTTTCAGCATCAAAGAAGACTCAAATTAATTACTACAAGTCAGTGAAATGACTAGAAAAGAAAAATTGATACTTAACTGAATAAGTAATAAATAATCAGCTGAACGCATCCGATAATCTTCCCGAGGGAATATGAATTCCGGAATTTTTACAAACAGTACTAAAACATTCTTTGAATCTTTACGTCCGTTTAGTCCTAAGAATCCAACCTAAAGAAGTTTTACGTCCGACGTCCGTCCGTTTATTGAAAGGTAGTTTGATAAATTGTGATGAAATGTTGACATTAAAATATAGTGTGCAAATATTTAGATAATATATATGATTTTCATTTTAGGAGTCTTGGATAATATGTATGAAACATAAATAAGAAAACATGTTTGTGTTTGAACATTTTAGTTAAAATGTTATATTCAAGATAGAAAACTACCAGACCTTTCAGAACGGGAACTAGAGGTTCAAAACGTTCCTATAATGTTGAGAAAAGCAATTGGTAGTCATGGAACGCTGGACATAGCTGTCTCGGAACGCAACCCGAGAGAAAGGGCAAAGGCCGGCAAAGGAGAACCGCTAGTTATGAAAAGGTCATGACACTGACCTTTGTGTGAACTCGTCACTGCAACGCAACAGGCTGCAGAAAATTTTAGAATGCACATGGAGCTAAAGAACCGTATTTGAGATGCAGATTGAAAAGATATAATGCAGAGGTGTAAAGAGGCAACGGTTGTAAGAAAATAATTTTCATTGCAGGAAATACAACTTTTATGTTATTCTCTGTACTTCATTGTAGACAGGGAGAACACTCACTGAAGTTCCTAAGCGGGATATTAAAAACTGACTTCTGATCGTTTAAATTTCCCACCATTATTGTTCATTAATTAATAATTATTGAGCTTTAATTATGACTGTATTGCCGATGGACATTATTGTGTAGATTGTGTTTAATTGTGGCATCTATAATGGTTCCTTCTCAAAATATTTTTTTGTTTCGCTGTTTGAATGCGATATACGTTGCAATAGAATGATTAGTGCATTGTACTCATACATTGCTATAAAATGATTGTAGACGACAAATGTTTTAAACATTTTTACAATACCCATTGAATGCTATACGATGAAATGAGTTAAGACAAAAGTTAGAGAAAACGTTATGTAGTAAAAAAATGCAATGTAAAAGAGAAAGTAAAAGTAAAAATATATAGCAATAATTTTTGACAAACTTATTCATATCACTATTCAGTATCTCAAAAAAGTTAATGCCATCTTATCTTATCAGGGTGAATGCAGGTCTCAACACCTTCGTCTTACTGCACACACAGTATATGACTTCCACAATATAGAACATACGATAGCAGTATTTCTAGACATTGCCCATGCGTTTAATTGTGCGGCACTTTAACCTCACATACAAGCTAAATAAAATTGGATTTCCCCAAAATCTCTTAAGCATTATAAGTAGTTTTCTTATATACAGAGAAATAAAAGTTAAAATTAACAAATTTTCATCACCATATCTCACTGCTGCTGGTATCCGCAATGTTCCATTCTCTCTCCAACCCTCCTTAATATGTAACCCTCAGACATACTTGAAGTAATACATTTAAACACTTTACTGTAAGCAAATGATATGGATTTATGTACTTTGGACACCAATATTAAAATAGCTGCAGAGAATCGAAAGAAATATTACAGTAAAAGAGAGTAATAGTGAATCCATGAAAATCATAAGCGAACTTTTTACGCTGCAATGCCCTACTGATTAATAATTCCCAAATTGGGCACTGAAAACTCTCCCGATTAAATATTTCGGGCCATTGATAGATAAGAATATAATACGCAAACCAAAAGTTAAACCAACGGCAAACGAAGCGTACATAAAAATGTAAAAATTGTAATCGATCCTTAATTTCCATACAATTAATGATAAATAGTAGACTACGGATGTACTAGTTCGCCTCAAGGCCTACATTACCATGCGTAAGAAAGAACATTTGAAGGAAAATTTTCAAAACCCAATGATTCATTCTCAACTCACAAACCTTGAACGAGCGTGACATATCTCCCGATTTTACTCCACAATTTCTGATCTAACATGTCTATCTGAATTCAATCTTGACTAGACGTAAAGTAATTTAAGACGTATTGGAATTCATTTTCCGGAAGATTTATTTAGACCGTCGCAAGTTTACCGTATAATCAAATTAAACAATATATTCACTACTAAATTATATTCAATTATTAAAAATTAATTAATTTGTTAATACTTTTACATCCCTAATATAGTTCTATTTCTTTCATAAAATACGACAAATGTACAATTAGAGAAAATCTCAAGTAGCCTTACGATGTTCAATTCTAAAAGTCAATTTGTATAATAATATTAACACTGAATAGAAAACATATAGAGACAGAGTTTAGCGATTCAGAGAAAAAGTGCGGTTTTGGTGCTGGCAGGTCTTTCAGAGACAATATATTTGTTTTCCGACAGATCCTTGACAAACAATTAGCTCCTGGAATAGAGAGACATGTAGCTTTCGTAGGCTTAAAAATGGCACATAACAGTGTACCGCTCCAAAAATGATGAAAAGTATTGAACAAAGGAGTACAAATCACGTACATTATTGCAGTGCGAAATCTGTATTGTGGCATGAGTACAAGCGTTAAGAAAGTAAATAAAATGTCGACGGAATTTGATATTAGTAAAACTGAAACTGAAATGCTGCATAGCACTTACGCTATATAAATTATATTTGAATGGAATGGTGATATGGAGAAGGTAGTACTATGCCATTGGAGTACCTGTAGACATTAATCAACTGTTAACCATCAAATTTGCAAACGATCAGATGATTTTGGCAGAAAATGATATGGACATGAATTATATGACCAGAAAGCTTAGAAAAGAATATGACAAATGCGAACTAACAATATCTGTAAAACTGAGTATATCATAGTTGGCGGAGTAGGAACTGATTTGAACCTGGGAAAACAAAAAAATATCCAATAGGGATGAAAATATATATGAAAGTTTGCTACCGTGATGAAAAAGCATATACAATGAGACAAGGCAGAGCAGCAACAAGGAAACCTAACAGCATTCTATGGAGTAAGAAGATAACGAGAAGGAATAAAATTAGTCATTACAAAGCCGTAGTAGAAGGCACTATGCAATATTAACCATAGTTATCAGGCATGTAAAAATGGTGGTCAAAGTTGAGGGCTATGGAGGAGAATTTCTGGCGGAAATGTAACAGGATGAGAAGCATTGAGTTAGGAACAAATCCATTAGAGAAGAGATGTTGGTATCGGTATTGATATTATTGTCACCATCGAATCGAAAGTATCAAGGAAGTAGGGGCAGGTTCAGTGAATGCCCAATAATATGTGACCAAAACAGGTATGCAGTCTAATCGAAGGAAACGTGGTAGACCTAAAAACACTAGGAACCATAATATCAATTCAGAATCAGTGGTAAACAGAAGTCTAAGAAAAGATGATTGGAATTAAAGAAGATGGCAAGTAGGCAACAAGAGACGGCATCCGCTGTAATCTACTCGTTCTTAGTAACTTGTTAATACCATCGAAAGACAAAATTGTCGACCAAATAAAAAATAATTAATAATAATATAAAAAACCAGCTGCAGCAAATGAAACGCATAAAAGAATTTCGAGTTTATTATTAATGTTGTTCTATCTGTTGTACTCGACAACATTATAAACGTGGCTAGTATAATGAGCTTCCAGGCGTGCATAAGCTGCAAGCGTTCCATGGACGTCAGTGCTTTTCGTACGAATAGACAGGCGACTCGACATCGTTAGTAGACGAGAACGCACTTCAGAAAAGTTCTTCAAAGCTTCGCGTCTTTTGTCTAGTTTCAACCTCATGCGCTCTTGCGTTGAATGCACCATGGCTGTTCGACAAAGAGAGAATCCTCCAAAGAATTTCGTTAATGGGGCGTCTAGAGTATATGGTTTGTTTGAAAGACGAAGTCACACGTAGAAATTGAATCTCTCAGACGTTGTGCTTCTAGTTTGTTGGGTTTTGTAAAGACTTCGGTGAAGACGAATGAAAAGCCACGTCAGGTTGAAAAGAAGGGATGGCTATTATGAAAGTTCATACTTTTCATCGCGAAATGCGAGAAAATCAAATACTCGCAATGTATATAGTACTTTTAAAAATGAAATTTCGATGTTTTGTGATGTTATATTTATCTCTTAACATAGGTTTTATTTACTCTTCAAGATATGAAATTTAAATTGTATTCCAAATATGCAAATTTAATTCGAAGATACAAAGTTAAAGTACTACTCTGCTTTGGGAAATTTATGAAATTTGGGAAATTTTCTATTTTATGAACATACGTCAATCTCTTAAGAAGTGTCCTTTAAATATTTTAGCGAATTGACCAGTTTTATTGCTTAAATGTTTGTTGTTCCCATCGGTAGTGGAGGACATACAAGCAATGACTTACGGATCGAGGGTACCAGAGATTGGGAGGACACGGGTTCGGTTCCGGCAGCTGTTTGTAATTTACTCATGCGTTTAACTTAAGTGAGTTTGTGGAGCCTGCCGGAATTAATTTCATAGGCCGACTGCTCTTAACAATAAATTCCGCGATTTCTCGGAATTTCTGGGTGAGTACCGGACCAACTCCCTTTTCGAGCAGCCACATAATGACGAGTCGTCTCAGTGTGCCATATACCGCTCGCCATCCAATTATCGTCTATTATTAGTCGGATTCGGCCGCTGTTGATTGCCCCAACGAAAATCGCCGATCAGAGAGGTCGACCGCTCGAATTCTCTTCCAGGAGGTTGTTGAATTCGTCCTAGCTATCTAATTAGGGTTGTAAACTCACCGCTTTCTCTCGAACACTAAGTCCACCCGGTCAACGACGTCGCAGAAGCACCTATGTTGCCGCTGAACTGTCACACCAAGCCCCGGACTCCTAAGCCCTGTACTCAACGGAGACGGCTTTCGCGCTGAGCGCGGCGCAACCAGCGCTCCTTACGTCCAAGACCCGGCAGGTGGATTTCTTCCGCACCCCTGTGAAGCAGGCTGGACCCCGCCCCACGCCCGGGGGGCTTCACCGCTGAATACTACGTCTCGCTCCGCGAAGCGTGTCCTCTGCGGCAGGGGCCGGCCGCGTGCCCCGAGACCATGAAAGTGCGGCGCCGCCCTTCCGCGCTTCATTCCCATTCTTGGCGGAACCCGCCATCACTCACCGAGCTCTCCATCATTCATGGCGACGCCTGCTCTCCCGTTTTGATCCCGACACCCGTCGCTTCGCCTTCGTCTCATATTTTTTCTCTTCCTCTCACTCTTTCTCGTTTTCCCTCGTCGTTTGCCCTACTTAAGTCCGCCTCTTGCTGGATCTTTCTCTCGTGCAATCCCTTGAATATTTCTTGTGTTTCTCCCGGAGCGCTCGTCTTCAAGGGGAGCCGCCCGCCCCATTTATCTAGCGTGCTACGTCGGTGTTTGGTGGCAGCCGCGTGGGCGATTGTGCTGTCGTCTTCGCGTGCCTCTTATTGTGGTGAGAGCCCTCTTTCGTTCGACTCGAAGACCTTCCTTTGTCGTGAGTTCTCGTCTCCAAAGCCGCAGTCTAAATGCGATTTTGAGATGGGGCGTATTTTCTGGGATCTTTGATGTTTCGTAAGAGAATCATCGGACACGTTGACGTTGAATTAAGGGAAATACTAGATCTTTAATATCCGATGAAGATTAAAGTCTACAGAGGATGTGTACATCTCAGAAATCTTTTTAGAAATAAATTATTTTTCTTTTGTCGGTTTAATAATACTAATACGATACATCCGACCACCCTGTTCTATTATAATGCTATCAGTTTTTCCAGACTTTATTTCCTGTATAACCTGAGTCTGGAAATTGGGAAAAATTGCTAATTATTCCTCCTATTTTTTGACATTTGCCTACTCTATAATATCACTGAAGAAATGGCAACTGAGATTCCTAATAATTAAGTTTTCCTGAATGAATGATGAATGAATTTCCACGATGAATAGGGCGGAGAGTAGATTTTGGGATTCGTAGTGATCAGAAAGTTATTTTCTTTCTAAGCAACAATCGCATAGCGAAAACATCGTAACTTCCTGGTAATTAGGACAAGATGGTCCCAATGAGTTCCTGAAACATTGCATAATTTTTATAATGTTTTAATTGTGATTGTATTAAGAAACCTTTCAATCAATTGAAGCCTAGAAAAACTAAAGTGCTTAAAACAATTAAAAACATTATATTGTCAGAATATTAACAGGGTTTTGTAATTGTTTATCAAAAAAATGAAGGCAAAAATCAAATAAGTGTAATAATAAATTTTGAATGACAGACACAAATTAATGTCAATTAGGGCAATTCCTGTTCTGTGCGTTTGCCACTGTAACCGACTGCGTCATTTTCGTTGGAATTAAATATTTTTTCTTTAACCTTTCAACGATCTGTAATAGAGTATTTATTTGCCACATTCGTAAATCGGATTTCATTCATTTAGAAATTAAAATTCCATTCATTCTCCTTTATGTTACAATTACTAAATTAATTGAATTAATGCTTTTTCAGAATCCTTGAAGTATAGCAGTTAAACTCTTGCAAATGAGTTATAACCATACCATTCACTGAACATTCATCACGATGCCGCTCCGAAAAGTTAGGAAACGTGAGGAAAATGAAGTGATAGTAATCGATAGTAATTTTTAGTTCTTGTCCAAAATTGATTTACAAATACTTATTGTTCGTTATCCGACCACTTTAAGACAAGATCTTGCAAACGGTACAAAATCAGTATATATATCACATCGTACATAAATATTTTTATAAGTTAAGTCTTGAAGATCAAATGACGAGTTTTCCTGCAAGGTAAAATTCAATCTCAAGTCACGACCAATTTTAGAAGAGCCATTTTGTTTTTTGATCTAGTCTACAATCGACCCGAACTTACATCACGGCTAATGAAACTCCAAGATTGGGTCCCAAAATATGCAACCGCTAATATCCGCTCCAGAACGAAGACTAACGGGTGAAGGTCCAGGCAAATTTCTACA